AGTATATATTTGAACGAATTTTTCTTGACACTTTTTTGATTATTTAATGGAAATTCACTAACTAATTAGAAGACAAAATACTTGTATTTTTGTTTATTCACTGAAATATGTTAGAACAAAAATAAAGATCACAAAATGAAACAGCAAACAACATTGTTGATTTTATTGACTTGTATTTAATAACAATATGGTTAAATATGCAAGAAACCTTACCATTCTGCAAAAAAGAAAAAAAACGGCGCATGCGTATTTTGGGCGCCTGTATTTTTTCTAAGTTTTTTGGCGGGAAAATTACGCCATTCTAAACAGATGTTACTTACAGAGTTTCAATGAATAAAAAAAACAAACAAAAAAAAGCGCATGCGTATTTTGGGCGCCCGTATTTTTTCTAAGTTTTTTGGCGAGAAAACTAAATGTTTTCAAACAGCTGTTACCGAAAAAAACCACGAACTTTAGAAAAAGTTTTTTTGGACCTCTTGTTCAAACTTGACCTTTGATGAGATTATTATCTTCTGGTGTTTTTTCTAGTTGTCGTCCATTCAACAATCTGCAGGAGCGAGGAACAACAGAAGTTATAAATAAATCCACCATTTCAAATTTATATTCATTGAATCATTCAAAAGCAAACCAACTTGCAAACTTTATCATTATTCGAGTTCTCTCTAGCCTTGCTAGGAGTCGGCCATTAATGTTATAGTTCTTCATAATATTTTTGTTCGTTTCTTTTCCTCACCGTTGATGTAGATATGAAAAGTTTTCAAAAATAAACAAATATAACCTGAACATGCAGATTGCCGTAAGCCCAGTACAGTAATTATCTTAGTCCAGGACGACTGTGAATTTTTTTTGCATAACAACAAATGCACGAGCCAAAAATAATTCGTGAACGATATTATCATAAGTAAAGCGAGTTTCTTTGCCTCTTTTCTATTCAATTTTTTCATTTTTATCTCTATAATATCAGTGACGTTAACCTCTTGTTGGTTGTTAGCAGATTACGTAGGAAACAACATGAATGTTATATGCCGAAAAATGGATATGTACAATACCGACCCGCGGAAAATTTCGACAATGATTTTAACACAAATATTTGACTTCATAAATGACTCAGACTGAATTAGAAAAGTTTTTAAAAGAATTATTGAGATATCAGCAAAACTAATTGGCCTAAACCCAGACTATTAATCCTTGAGTCAACAAACTTTACGTGGACTGTTACGCATCGATCTTGACATACAAATTTGGATTTTGATCAAAATTGTAGATACTTTTTTTTTCATATACAGCTTAAAATACTATTGATATGTTGGCATCATTTCATAAATTAGATATCGATGCCATTCAGAAACAAACTTTAAAGTCTCAACAGCCATATTCCAGAGATAAAAAAATTTTGTAACAACTCGAATTGGAGAACAATATTATGGTAAATGGTGTATGCCAAAAATGACTAAAAATTGTTGATCAAAAGCTCGTGCTCCTGGTCTCCGCTGTATTTTGGTCATTTTCTTATCATTTTACTGCAATGATTTTTTTGAATTTACTCATATTTTTTTTAGCAAATTTTCATGTTAAAAACAATCTGACGTTAAAATATTTGCTCAACTCCTAAACTGATACAGCAATCTGCATGCACCGACTATAACCAAAATGTATTCAACTGGTGTTAAAATAGTTACATCATATAAAGCAATTAACTTACCTTACGAAAATAACGTGTCCTCCCTCGTCTCTCTTGTGATTCTCTTCCACTCCCTTTCCCTTTGCTCCTGATTTCTGCCTGTATTTATCTTGAATTCAACATCTGCCTGATGAAAAATGAATGCAAATTGAAGATCTTGAAAAAATACGACAAAAAACCTCAAATCATCGGTTGTGGGTAACTTTTTTTTTTCCTTTTTTCCCCAGGTGGAGTCAGGAAGGATCCTACACATCTGTTCTCTGTTTGATTGACTTATACCTAAACGTTTTTACCGCAAGTTTTCCTTTATTTCCAGATTCTGGAAAGCCTCAATCACTCGACCTCCAAGATCTCTATATAAATTCCCCATACCGTCCGACAGGAATTTCTTATAATCTTGCTTTGAGAATTTCGTGTTGAATCAAACAATTTTTCCCCGTTGATAGCTGGTCAAACAGTTAGCCACTTAGCCAGTCAGCCAGCCAGTCAACTAGTCAGCCAGCCAGTCAGCCAGCCAACCAGTCAGCCTGTCAGTCAGCCACTCGGTAAGCTAGTGAGTAAGTCAGTCAGTCAGCAAGTCAGCGAGCCAGTCAGCCAGTCAAACAGCCAGTCAGTTAGTCAGTCAGCCAGCCAGTCAGTCGGTGAATCAGTCGCCAAGTCAGTCAGTCGGTGAATCAGTTGCCAAGCCAGTCAGCCGGTCAGCCAGTAAGTCAGTTGGTCAGCCAGTCAGTCAGTCAGCCAGCCAGTCAGTTAGTCAGTCAGTCAGTCAGTCAGTCAGTTAGCCAGTCAGCTAGCCAGCCAGGTAGTTAGTCAGCCAGTCAGCCAATCAATTAGCCAGCTAGCCAGTCAGTCAGCCAGTCAGTTACCAAGCCAGCCAGCCAGCCAGCCAGCCAGTCAGTCAGTCTGTCAGCCAGTCAGGCAGCCGCTCAGTCAGCCAATCAGTCAGCTAGCTAGCCAGCTAGTCAGTCAGCCAGTCATCAAGTCAGCCAGCCAGCCAGCCAGCCAGTCAGCTACCAAGCCAGCCAGCCAGCCAGCCAGTTAATCAGCCAGCCAGTCAATCAGCCAGCCAGCCAGTCAGTCAGCCAGCCAGCCAGCCAGCCAGCCAGCCAGCCAGCCAGTCAGTCAGTCAGTCAGTTAGCCAGTCAGCTAGCTAGCCAGCTAGTCAGTCAGTCAGTCAGTCAGTCAGCCAGTCAGTCAGCCAGTCAATCAGCCAGTTAGCCAGCCAGTCAGTCAGTCAGCCAGCCAGTCAGTCTGTCAGTCAGTCAGTCAGTTAGCCAGTCAGCCAGTCAGGCAGCCGCTCAGTTAGCCAGTCAGTTAGCCAGCCAGCCAGCCAGCCAGTTAGCCAGCCAGTCAGTCAGTCAGCCAGCCAGTCAGTCAGCCAGTCAGCCAGTCAGTCAGCCAGCCAGCCAGCCAGCCAGCCAGTCAGCTACCAAGCCAGCCAGCCAGCCAGCCAGTTAATCAGCCAGCCAGTCAATCAGCCAGCCAGCCAGCCAGTCAGCCAGTCAGTCAGCCAGCCAGCCAGCCAGCCAGCCAGCCAGCCAGTCAGCTACCAAGCCAGCCAGCCAGCCAGCCAGCTAGTTAATCAGCCAGTCAGTCAATCAGCCAGCCAGCCAGCCAGCCAGTCAGTCAGCCAGCCAGCCAGCCAGCCAGCCAGCCAGCCAGCCAGCCAGCCAGCCAGCCAGCCAGCCAGCCAGCCAGCCAGCCAGCCAGTCAATCAGCCAATTAGCCAGTTAGCCAGCCAGCCAGCCAGTCAGTCAGCCAGCTAGCTAGCCAGCTAGTAGTCAGCTAGTCAGCCAATCAATCAGCCAGTTAGCCAGCCAGTCAGTCAGTCTGTCAGTCAGCCAGGCAGCCAGCCAGTCAGTTACCAAGCCAGCCAGCCAGCCAGCCAGTCAGTCAGTCTGTCAGCCAGTCAGGCAGCCGCTCAGTTAGCCAGTCAGTTAGCCAGCCAGTCAGCTAGCCAGTCAGTCAGCCAGTCGGTCAGCCAGGCAGCCAGTCAGCTACCAAGCCAGCCAGCCAGCCAGTCAGTTAGAGCCACATAGTCAGTCAGAGCAGCCAGTCAGTCAACCAGTCAGCCAGCCAGTCAGTCAGTAAGTGTCAATAAGTCTGTCAGAAAGTATGTCAGTTAGTCTGTCAATAGGTGTGTCAGTCGGTCAGCCAGTCAGTCAATCAGGGATCACCTAGTCAGTCAACTGTTCTGTCAGGTCGTCAGTCAGTCTGCTAAAGAACACCTTCCATACTGTACATACATACAAGCGCTTTAGAAAAGCTAAAGAAAATTTTTCCTACCGACATACCAAAACTCAGTTTTTAAAATGTGTCAGTAAATTAGCTAAGGCCTAAATTGCAGAGTCGTAACAAAATTAATGGTTCGAGCAGCTAAAGCTACCTTGGCTTGAGGAGAAACCACTTAGGAAGCATGAATAAATTACGCCATGGAAATGCAGCCTTCGTACATAAAATTATCAAATTCACTACCTCCTTCAACGTAGAAAACAAATAAGCAGACATAATTCCACATCTGATGGACTACCACCAACTTGTGTTTCCAAGTTGCTTAAAATAAAATATAAATGCTTTTGGCGCTAATTTCAAATTACCTTTCCAGTAGATGTTTCCAATAGGCGTTTAACTTGCTTTTATTAGTCCGTTCCTACGTCCCACCAAAGCATTTCACCTGTCCGAGCTGAAGGCCATGTACAATGAAGGTACCAAAGATGAGTGTGGGTGAGTATGGAAATGTTGACAGAGGTTGCTTTCTTTGTCACAACATAACGTTTAAATTTAGCTTCGGTCGCCATTTTATTCCTCGTGTGAAGATACACGTGATAGTCGAATAATTAAATTTGAATGAGGGACACTGATCTGCGAGTTATGAATATTAAATGTTTTGCCTCAACCACGGACCGCAATCCTTTAGTGCCTTTGGAAACTCTAATTGAGTCAAAACCAAGTACGGTAAAGAGGAATGACGAGGAAAATTGACTGAGACGAAAGTAGGCTTGACAAATGGTCAAATATCAAACCGATGGATTAAATGTTTACGAGGGAAAAAAATGGGTACAATAGATTAGAGGTAAAATTACTATGAGAAAAATTACAAGTTCCCAACGGTAGGATTTGTTTCCCGGTTAGATTCGTTTCCGCGGTGGTAAGCTTTTTACCTAATGATTGGTTCCATGCTACGTCAAACACCAGCCGCCCCCCCCGCAGATATCACGTTTCACAATGCAGTAATTACACAACATTTAAGATCCCTTGTCTTACAACGAGCAGCAGCGCAAGTAGGGATCTCTCTTTTATGCACAGTTAGCATTTCAAAATGAGGAGCAGAGTAACAGGTACGATGCGCTGGGTCAAATATTTTATGTTCTTTTTCAACGTCTTGTTCTGGATAAGTGGTGTTGGCCTTGTGGTGTTAGGCTGTCTTGGGGAGCTTCTATATGGCGATTACAAAAACATCACACAAACAGGTTTCACCTCAGCCTCGTTTATCCTTATAGGAGTAGGATCTGTAATTGGTCTGCTCGGCTTTGCTGGTTGTTATGGTGCAATCAGAGAAAATTACTTCATGCTTAAGTGCTTCTCGTACTTGTTGGTCTTGCTGCTGATCGCAGAAATCGCGCTGGGCCTGTGGTTGTACTTTGCACATTTCAATCTACACAAATTTCTTCAGGATTTTCTCAGCAACATCCTCAGCAAGTACGAAGATGACAAGGATATGCGAGAACTAATCAACAGAATCCAGCGAGAACACGAGTGCTGTGGGTCAAAAAGCTACAAAGACTGGTACCATTCAGATTGGAACGCTCAACGCCAAAACAAGAGCGTGTACTATTGGGTGAATAATGTACCGCAGTCGTGTTGTTTATCAAACACAACACATTTAGAGAGTTGTGGAAACGATTTAGACACTGCCAGTAAACCAGCTGAGAAGTTTGTCCATACCGAAGGCTGTCTGCGATTAAAGGCGTTATTCTCGAAACACTTGACCTTTATGATTTCTCTTGGCGCAGGGGTCATGACAATACACGTCCTGGCAATTCTGTTTACGTGTTGCCTCAGGCGCGCAATCAAACATTCGAATCTGCTACACCAGGGCGATGGAATCCTACTCATTTCGACGTAATTGGTATCAGAATAGCAATACAATGAAAAGCGCGATTGTTCTTGTAAATGACTATGCGGGAGGATAGATATGACTCGATTGACACGTCACACAATTGCTACTGATGTCACGCAATCCTTCAAGATCCAGGACTTTCTAAATTCGTGAACTACAGGAGTTATCAAAATGACATAACAATGAGTAACATCAGGTAGATATTTATTAAAAATAATTCATCTCGGTGACTTTCATCATTGAAATGGGAAGGAGTGATAAATCAAGAGGGGCCATAAATACTTCAAGAAATGAGTATACAATATGTATTCTTTGAATTGTTAAATTCAGCTCTATAGTAATAGGCATTCAAGTGAAAACTGTGAATATTTTATAGGACTTGTTTTCACGATTAAATTCTTTGTAAAACTGACAAGAAATACGTCAAATTTTGGTTGGTAACGTAGTTGCATCAAGCTGTCATAAAAAAGCGTTCAGTGGTACAGCCCTTAAATTGCTTAAAATTCATGACCGGTCTCGCAAGAGAGCGAATAGTTTATGTTATCCTCGTATTACTGCAGATCTTGTAACAAGCTTTCCTTTTGATATGCTTTCGATATGGCTGAGAGATGTTTCAGTCTCTTTAGCCGAGTAATGCAATATTTTCCTTTCTTTAAGAGACTAGTAAGTACCTCCATGGCATCGACAATGCTTGGATGGCAAATTTTTAGTCTTCATCACTATCTGCTGCAAGTACTTCATCTTGTGACACACCCTGTAGAGGAAACGGAACATGACACATAAGTATCATCACTAGCAAAAAAAGATAGTCTTTCTCGAATACGTGAAAATTGAAGGTTTTACGCTTTCCTTAATGCGTCGACAGTAACCCTGCGATTTTCTGCGAATGACTGCGAGAGGGTAATTATCATTTCCCAACACGTCTTAAGAGGGGACACTGGCAACCAGAGAGTCAATTACACGCCAATGTAGTCTTAGAGTCCTGACACTAACTAAGCAAAAAAGAGCTTTAACCCTGGCAACCTTTTTCATGGTGAAAACGACCGTCAAGTGAACAGTTAGACAGCTAACAGGAGCCGAGGCAGAGAGCAAAATGAAAGATCTTTGAGAGAAATCTAAGATACACGCGATGAAATATCTCAACTGCGGAGCGAGTAACGAAATTTTAAGTTGCACAATTTTAAACCCCAGAGTCGATAGAGCGCCCATGGAAAGATTTCAGTGTCAATCGAAAGCACATCAAAAGACCTCAGAATCTATGGAGCGCTAAAGGAATAACATGAGACTCAACTTGGAGCACATCAAAAGGTTTCACTCTCTGGAAATAGATCCATTCGTTATTTATGTCACGAAAATCAGTATAACTTACTTGCTGTTTAGAAGCGGCGAAAAACATGGATTTAAACTGAAACAAAGAAGACAAAATTTGTGAAAAAAAGTGAAATAGAAAATGACAAATTAAAAGAAAAGTTGCGTTCGTAGAATTGATACAGAGAAAGTGCAAATTCCAACGAGCTTATGTCCCTTTTTAAGTCAAACAAAGTTATTCAAAAGCTCTGTGGATAAATTCTCTATAGTGAAGTCAAGTGATAATAGCGAATCTTTTTTATAATAAGTGATTACATTTACACAAAATACCTTTTTGTGGGGTGGGGTCCCCGGAACAAAATCATAATCTTCATCAGCATCTACATCCATCGAGCTGTCATCAGGTTCCACTGGACGTCTCTTTGTCTTCTTTGGTCCAGTTTGATTTAACGAGTTCTCGTCAAGGCTGATGCAACTGTCACCCAAGGAAGGCTGATTGAGAATATACAGTTATTTTAACATTTCTTAGTGCTGGTAACATAACAAAATTAGGGCAGGTGATCTGTACATGGTTTCTGAAGGTTTCGCCTGCTTTATGGAGGTTTCGCCCCATTGCAAGTTCGCTCCCTACCATTGCTAAGACTAGTTCGCCCCATTTAAGATAGCTACTTTGTCCCCATCGTCATTTGGTACGAACTTGTCAAGGTGGAGGCCAACTAGTAAGAAGACGGCTTGCAATGGGGTGAAACCTCCAGAAACCAGTGAAATATGTCCCGTTCTTATTCAAGGATTTTCCATCTCATTTTGATACTCATGGCACTTTGGGAGAAGAGGTTATCCCTAAAGAACACAACATGCTGGCCCTGCCTGAGTCAAACTGAAATGATCCATTTTACAGGTATTTACTCAATACATTCCTGTACGAAACAAACGTGGTTAATAATTTACGATTGTCTTACCATGTCCAAATTCTTCATAAATGATACATCTGGAAGGAACAAGAGGACAAACGTTACTACAGTATGATTTTGCTATACGTGCAATTGCACGTACATATGTTACGTGAGTCATCCTCACAGACTGTCCATAGCCTTTAGTCTTTATTCTTTATTCCATCATAAGATAAAACTACATATCTTATGTTACAATGAATTGAAAAAACTACAGAAATCTACATACATATTATGAATTAAAAAGTATATCATTACAATAAATGGAGCTTAAATATCAACCTATTTACAAATGTGTTCATAAAGCGCTGTGTATTAATTTTCGGGCGCGCGCAGCCTTTTTCCTGAGGTTGTGTAGATATGTCTTTTGGACAGGAATGATATCTTTCAGGGGGTGGCAATCCGTTGATTTTAGTTTCTTCAAAATATTTCTGTCTTGTTTGTTTAAAAGGTTCTTGATAAAAACTGGAAATGAGATAAAACCGCGTTCATGACATCGGTCTAAAAATTTTTGTACAACCGTAAGATCGGACTCAGATGCCCCATAGACTGAAAGTGCATAGCTAAAATTAGCCAAAACAATCGATATAAAAGGATGATCAATCTCTGCCTGAGAGTAATGTTCCTTTCTCAATGTTCGTAGGACGTGTAAACACTTGTTTGCTTTGACAAGCTTAGTTCTTACATGCTCATCAAATTTTCCATCACTCTGTAAAGTTACTCCTAATAAAACGAAGCTATTACATTGGGGAATATTATTAATTGGAGAGTAGAGTACATTATGATTTTTCTTTCTAACAACCAGCTCTTTACATTTGCAAGGGTTGCAGACCATTCTATTGTCTTTACACCATGTTAAGAACTGTCCTACTAAGTCGGCAGACGGGTCACTATTCCTAGTGATAGGCGAAAGAATAGTGGAATCATCGGCATATTTAAAAAGCACAGGGCAACCATTAAAAAAAATCTCCAAATCGTTCAAAAATATATTAAAAAGATACGGTCCGCTTACACTACCTTGTGTGGTTCCTCTATTGACAAGTTTCCACTGTCCTAAAAAATTATAACTAACAACACGCTGTTGTCTTGCATAGAGGAAACTATGATACCAATTGATAATGTACGGATTTAGAGGTAGCTGTTTCAGTTTGGCAGACAAAATAGCATGGTTCACAAAATCGAAAGCCTTACTGAAGTCCATGGTAAAAATTCGCACTGCGCTATAGTCACTACTATCTAAATACTTGTATGTCTGGTGCTGGATAGCGAGCAAGGCATTTGTGCAACTACCCGCCTGTCTATATGCAAATTGGGTGTGGCTCAGGTTGCTCTCAATGACTGACTGTGCTTGTGTACGATATACGACCTTCTCAAACAACCGGGCAATAACGGGAGTAACATTAATACCACGGTAGTCCGAGTCCTCTATAGGCATATTCACTTTGGGGAGAGGGTTAACATTTGCCCTTTTCCAGGAGTCTGGCCATGTATGAGTAGACAGCGACAGATTCCAAACGTGAGTGACGATTGGTGTGAGTAGCTCAGCACAGTCTTTCCAGATCCAGTACGGGAGGTCGTCTGGTCCCGTTGCGGTTTTCTTTACATGAACTAAGGTATTCCAGACACACCGCTCAGATATTTTCGGGGGCTTTACACTGTCCGGGATATCCATATCACTAGGTCTAACGTAAGTGTCATCATAGCACAGGTTGGCGAAGTAGTCGTTCAGACGAACTAGAGAGTTCTTGTCCAAATTTATCAACGATGACCTGCGACGCTGCGATAGGGCGTCCACGCCCTTCCACCACTCACCGCTACCAATGGCAGCCAGTTTTCTTCTGTTCTCGGTTATCAGCTCAGAAATGCGCTTATTAAATAAAGACAGGCGTTCCTTATTCTTTGAAGATATATGGGACTTACTCCTCAGCATACACTTGACTAATGGGGACATCCAAACTGGGTCACGCGATGACATGCGTACAGATTTTTGCGGCATAAACTTATTCATCACTGCCCGAATCTTTACCTCAAGCACCTCGACCGCCTTGTTTATGTCCACCTCATTGAGGACGTCACTCCAGTCCAGCGCAGTGAGTGCCATATAAAATGACTGTTTCCGATGTTCCCTACAGTCCCGCACAAGAACTTTGCGGCGCATAGGTTTAAGCTTTAATCCCGCCGGTAAAACAAAGCCTTCATGGTCTGTCTTAATAAGCATATGTATGGAATATGCTTGACCGAACAGATCCGCTCGGTTGGTCATACAGTTATCCAAGCACGCGTTACCCCGCGTGGGAAAATCAACCACGAAATCCCAGCCAGACAAAGCCTTAAATTCTTGCATATCCAAACGATTTACATCGCCACCACAGACAATAGCCGCTTCTGGGTGTTTGTTCAACACAATGTCCACAAAAGATATTATATAATTAATTAAGTCGAGATCCCGGTAGCTATGCTTGGGAGGATTATACAGGCCGCAAATTAGCATAATGTGATCGGACGGCAACTGCACTGTTAAAGCAATAAATTCATATAAATTGGACCGATAGACATCCAAGACTTTAAGACTGTCTCTCACATAGACCGCAACACCCCCTTTTTTCCTTTTGTCCAAGTCTGCCCAACCTCTGTCCCGCCTGAACACATTGTAATTTGGGATAGCAATTGCACCATTTTACACAAGAGGCGATACAAAGTAATGATGAGCACTGGGTATCCCCTGACAAGCAGAATTCGTCATCCTAT